GAAGATGAACGTAATAGAATATAAAATGTTTGAGCATAGGAGGCTCAGGGTTCAGTCTGACTCCGTTGAACCCAAGGTACTACATGTACTTTGTCACTACTATTCTGTTATAAAAGTTATTCTTCATCAAGATCTTCGACGTCTTCACTTTTTCTTACAGGGGGCAACACCACCAACCTTTTTACCCACCTCCGTGTCCATCACCCTGCGGATTACGCCCTTTTACAGAGAGTAAGTTGCTATTATTTTACTAATCATGGAATGGGAAATATTACATTTACCTGTTAACAGCGGTTTTCTGTGTTTTTATATTGTGTTATATCATAGGGCGCTTCAAAGAAGACCGAGAAGACCAGAGTCTCAGGTCAGCTGACACTTTTTGATTCTGTGGAAAGGAAGAGGAAAGCAGACATGGCTAGTGCATGTGAGGACACAGCCATCACTGAGTCACTAGCCTACTTCATTGCAAAGGACATGATGCCCTTTAGAATAGTAGAGAGGCCAGGATTTAATGCACTGATGAAAACAGTTGCTCCAAAATACAAAATCCCAAGAAGACAACACTTTTCTGAAAAAGAAATCCCCAACATGTACTTAAAATTAAAAGCTGAGATTACCAACACTTTGGCTGAGGCCAAACACTTTGCATTTACAACTGATCTCTGGACCAGTAATACTGGACACCCCTATATGAGCTTAACAGTTCATTTCATCACACCAGCATGGGAAATGAAAGCTGCATGTCTAGAGACTGCATTTTTACCTGATGACCACACCAGTGAGAACATTAAAGAGACATGTGAAAAACTAATTAAAGAGTGGGGAATTCAGCAGTCAGCAGTGTGTCAGTCAGGCAGTAGTGTGTCACTACTGACAATGGCACAAATATGAAGGCTGCATTTAAATCCCTTCTCCCACCGAACAGGCTCAGCTGCTTTGGACAATTTAAATCTTGCACTTGGAAAGGCCCTGAAGTTTGACCAAGTGGATGCTGCTGTGGGGGCTTGCAGGAGTGTCGTACAAGGATTTAACCACTCATGGAAGAGAATGAGAGAGCTGGCAAAAAAGCAAGCAGAACTTAATCTTCCTCAACCTACCTTGATCCACCACGTTGTGACTAGATGGGGGTCTACGTACGACATGATTTCTAGGTAGGTTTGAATTTCTTGTGCAATAATCCTGTTCATTTAATTATTCTGTCAGTGTCAACTCAGCATAAGCTTTCTTATGCTTAAAAGGCAAAGGGTGCATGAAAACAAAAATGTAAATGAAAACAACAGATAAAGAAATGCTTTAGTTTTACAAACTCACTTGCCTTTTCTCACTCTGACACACGCGCACACACACATCTGCTGTATGCTTCTCAGCAAGCCTGTTGTGTAGATTAGGAACATTTTTCTAACTTCATCTAATATAATGTTTGCAGATTTGTTGAACAACATGCTGCAGTGACAGCAACTCTCATGGCTATATCAAATACCAGGCATCTTGTGCTAAGGGGGTCACACATCTCTACACTTGAGGACACATGTAAGGTGCTGAAGCCACTCAGAACCTTTATTGATTCCCTGGCTGCAGAGACCTGTATCACAATCTCATCCCTGAGGCCTGTCCTTCAGCATCTGACTGAATCCATCCTGGCAGAAAAGGATGATGACAGCAGCCTGGTGAGGAGCATGAAACATGAAATCTGCAAGGACTTACAAGAGCGGTATGAGGATTCCAATTTGGCTAATGGTGAGTAGGCCGGTACCACATTTCTCCAACCTCACCTTATTCATAGTCTTATATCATTACTACTCATCATGACTGATTGTGTTTTATGAGCTCCGTTAATAATGAATGTTCTCTTTGGTTCATCTACAGTGATTAACATGGCCTCCGTACTTGACCCCCGCTTCAAGTTAAACTTCATGGAAGAGGCAGATTCAATTAAAAGACATCTAGAGCAGCATCTCACGCAGGAGTCTTCTGACAATGTAGGTAGCACTTGTACTCTCTCACAGGAGTCTTCTGCCAGAGGAGAATGTGAAGATGAGGGGACCAGTGTCTCTATCCCTGAGGCCCCAATAGGCTTGGCTGGTATTCTCAAAATGATAACAATGAAAAAACAGAAGAACGTAAACAATCAGCAGACATGGTAAAATCTACACCAGCATTTCAAGAAGTTTCTGCATACACAGCCTTGCCCACTATTTCTGTGGATAAAGACCCACTGCAGTGGTGGAAAGACAATGAGGAGGATTTTCCAAGGTTGGCAAAACTGGCACAGAAGATCCTTTGCATTCCCGCCACCAGTGTTGCATCAGAAAGACTTTTCATTTCTTCAGGAAACATTCAGACAGTGTTTCGCTCCAGTTTGAAACTAGAGAAACTTAACATGCTCGTCTTCCTTCATAAAAATTTGCCATAGATTGAGAATGTAAGAAGTGAAAATGCATGTGCCCTGTTTATCTGTATCCTTATGTTCGTTGCATGGGTAAAAAAAGAAAAACAAAATAAACAAAGTAAAAATTAATTTGACTAATAAAGTTTTTTTCCCAAAGGTTTCTATAGATATTGCGATATATTGATATTGTGAATTATTTTGTCCACAATAACCGTGGTGTGAAAAATCTAATATCGTGACAGCCCTAATTGACAAAGTATTTTCCTAATTAATGCTGTACAGTTGCTTTGACACAATCTGTATTGTTAAAAGTGCTATATAAATAAAGGTGACTTGACTTGACTTGACAATGCAAAAACATTTAAACTGTAGAAGTCCTTTAAAATCTCTTAGCTTACACATTTCTTTTCATCAAGGTTTATTACTTGCAAATTTATTGTGGAGAGTGTTACTGCCATCCTCCAGCGTCGCCGTGGCTGGAGTCTCCCTTGACTCCGCCTCCAGCCTCCGAGGCCTGGACTCCGCCTTGGCCCGTTGACCCGTCGGCTCCACCATGGCTCCTAGCTCCCTCCTCTCCGTCGTGGCCCGGCAGTCCACAAGCTCCGCCAGGCTCCCTCGTCCCTCCGGCTCCGCCTTGGTCTAACATCGACCATCCTGCGCCTCGGGACTCCACTCCTCTGGCTTCACCTCGTCCCTCTGGCTCCGCCTTGGTCTAACGTCGACCATCCTGCGCCTCGGGACTCCACTCCTCTGGCTTCACCTCGTCTCTCCGGCTCTGTCAGGCTCCTTCATCCCCTCGGCTCCACCTCAGTCCTCTGTCGCTCTGGCTCCACGGCGGCCTCCCGGATCCACATCTCCACGTCGGTCGCCGGCGCCATCTGCTCTGCCTAGGACCTCCGGATCCTCCCCATCACCCTGGCTCATCGGCTCTCCGCCTCGGGCTCCTCCACCACCTGCTCCGCCGCCGTTGGTCAGCCCCCTGGAGTCGGCGGCCATTCCTCCTCCATGGCTCCTCCCTCTGTCGGCTCCACCGTGGGTCGACATCATGGCTGTGGCCTGGGTCCTGCTGGACTCCTCCTGCTCCAAGCCCCGCCTGTCTCCTCCCTGGCTCCTCCCTTCGTCGTCTCCTCCCTGGACTCTGTCTGCCGGCTCCCTCCCGGGTGTCCGTCCTCCTCCTGAGCCTCCTCCCTAGTTCCTACCCATTCCCCTCCCCATGTTGTTTCTACGGTGCGAGGATGCACCTACCGGGAGGGGGGAGTAATGTCATGCACCTGGACTGGTTGTTGTGCTCTGTGACCCAGTTTCTTCCCTATGTGTTCCACTTCCCAGTTAATTAGTCATTCAGTACACCTGTCTTTGTTATTTATCCCTTGCATTTAAGTTCGAGTCTGTGCTGTCTGTCCTTGTCCGAGATTATACGTCAACCCTGGTTTTTCCTGTGCTCCTGTCTGCCCCGTGTAATTCCTTGGATGTTTGGATTAAAATACTATTGTTTTGTGTATCCCTGGTCTCCTCGCTCCTTGCCTTAAGGGAAGTGTGACAACTATGATGTTGTCGTAATTGGAGAGGACAAGGTACCTCGTCAGACTTGGAAAATGAGAAAAATTGAAAAACTAAATTCAGAATGAGATGGCCTGGTGCGCTCATGCAATATTCGTACTTCATGAGGCAGTGTGTTAAGAAGACCTGTGCAATTAATATATAATTTGGAGCTAGTTTCATTGATCATCCTTGAAATGAGAATTGATGAACCTAGTTCATCGGGTGGGAGGACACTGTAACGTTTGCTATTAAATAATTATTTTATTTCCTGAATAAAAGTACATACTAAGTGTGCTGATAACCTTGTTATTATTTTTAGCCTCATCACATCCTCTCGTCACTGTTTCTTCTTTTTTCTGAAGTAAACAAACTATGACATCCATGTATTCCTAGAACTTTCACTAACAAGTCATTTATTTATATTTTTTAATTAATACATTACATAGGTTAATTTATTGACAAATTGATGATTATTTTCATTTGTGGAACTCCTAGTCCTCAATATTCAAACTTTCCCATGCATTAGGGCGTATAATTCAGCCTGCACCATTAGTGCTATGAACATGAATGAGGGGCCCAGCCCTGTAAGGGTTTAAAGTTTAGACCTACTTATTGTTCATTTGGCAACATAAAAACTCTAATACTAATATCTGAGAGTTATAAAGTTCTAAAAAGTTCTGCAGTAAAATGTGATTAAAGTCTAGCTAGTACAGTGGCATGTCAAAGCTCAGCTGTACTGAGTTGTTTAAAGTCAGCTTAGTGAAAGAATGCAGGCAATGCAGATCTCACCGCCACAGGGTCTCATGCCAGAATGTGTGTGCGAGTGTGTGTGTGTGTGTGTGTGTGTGTGTGTGTGTGTGTGTGTAAGAGAGAGAGAGAGAGAGAGAGAGAGAGAGAGAGAGAGCGAGAGAGAGAGAGAGTGTGAGAGAGAGAGAGTGTGAGAGAGATCGCAAAAGATCTGCGAGTGCCAGTGATAAATACTTTTAAAAATAACTTTTGTGACAGTATGCTAATTTAACCTAGTTATGCTGATAGACTTTTTTTGGAGTGCGTGTTAGAGATCCAGTACCTGTCACTATTTGAATCCAGTGACTTGCTCCTGCACATGACTATGGCAATCTCACACTTTGGGTTACCAGCACCTGGAAAAGAAAGAAAAAAAGAAAAAACACCTCATTGGCACACTTTTTAAAGAAAGGCTAAAAGAGCATTTACCACTAAGTAACTTTTGCAAACAGTCATTTTTTGGCCCCCATGAGGAAAACAGCTTATAATGAAGTTTTTTGAAAATTTAACGTTTTATAGTTTGTACTGCCCTATGGGAAGTCCCTATAAAACATGGAAACCAGTGTGTGTGTGTGTGTGTGTGTGTGTGTGCGTACCTGGTATTCCCTATGTTATGGGGACCACATGTACCCACAAGGATAGTAATACCAGTAGATTTTGACCTTTTTTTTGTTCCCAGGATTAAACAAGCTTATAAATAATACAAAATATTTTTTAAATCTAAAAATGCAGAAATTTTTGTGTGAGGGGTAGGTTTAGGGGTAGGCTTAGGGTGAGGGGATAGAAAATACAGGTTGTACAGTATAAATATCCTTACACCTATCTAATATCCCGATAATGCCAGAAGAATGTGTGATTTTTCACAGAACTCAACTAGACTCTCTGATAGTTAAATGTCATATTTCAAGTCACTTCCTCCTCACTCTTAACCTCAACATGGTTCCTGACACAACACATACCCCTCCTCATGTCATCTTTCGACATAACCTACGCTCACTCACCCTCCCGGCTATCTGCTATGGTTTCATCTTTGCTTCCTCCCCCTAAACAGTTATTATCTCTTGATGCTAACAGTGCTACTGATACTTTCCACACCACAATCTGTCAAGCACATCTTACCAGCAAACATACACTCGTTTACATCCTTCTCTTCACTCTCTGAGGTAGAAGGCAGAATCTCATCCTTTCTAATCATCCTACTACTTGTCTGCTTGATCCTATTCCATTTCGTCTCCTTCAAGCCATTTCTCTGCAGTTGGAGCTAGACTTACTGCAGAACGCTGATTGGTTTACAGAGAATCGCCACTTACACGTGCTACAAGGGGAAATTTTAAATACACAGTCGAAACAAGACCCCATAATAATAATAATAATACAATGCCGGCATGCAACATGAAAACATTAGCTTATGTTAGCTTACCCTAATAGGATCTGCTGTATGTCCTCCATTGTTGTTTACAGCTCTTTGCATGAGAATGACGTCGATCGCTACTTTCCAGCGTACACCATGCCTATCAAGTGACATTGATTGCAAGTTTCTGGCATACACCACGCCTACCAAGTAAGGATGCTATTGGCAGTGGAAATGCAAGCCTGATCAGGGTTACCCCTACTTACCGAATCGTACTGTACTGTACTATACTATACCATACTGCTTGGTGGAAACGAGCCATTAGAGAACTACAGACCGGTTTGCCTTCTTCCTTTCATTGAAAAAGCACTTGAATGAGCTGTGTTCAACCAAGTCTCTGCCTTTCTCACACAGAACAACCTCCTCGACAGCAATCAGTCTGGTTTCAGAAGTGGACATTCAACCGAGACTGCCTTGCTCTCAGTTGTTGAAGCCCTAAGACTAACAAGAGAGGATTCCAAATCTTCAATACTTATCTTGCTGGATCTGCCCGCTGCTTTTGACACGGTTAACCACCAGATCCTCCTGTCAAGCCTATTGGCAAAGGACATCTCAGAAACCGCACTCCAGTGGTTTGAGTCTTACCTATCTGATAGGTCCTTCAAGGTATCTTGGAGAGGTGATGTGTCCAAGTTGCAACATCTAACTACTGGGGTGCCTCAGGGCTCAGTTCTCTTCTCTGTTTACATGGCATCACTAGGTTCTGTCATTCAGAAACATGGCTTTTCATATCACTGCTATGCTGATGACACTCAACTCTACCTCTCATTCCATCCTGATGATCCGACGATAGCTGCTCGCATCTCAGCTTGTCTAACAGACATTTCTTGCTAGATGAAGGACCATCACCTTCAACTCAGCCATTAATGTTTGCCTACAAAACCCCCACTGGCTCTGCACCCCTTTACCTAAATTTATTACTTCAGACTTACAGTATGTGCCCTCTAGAAGCTTGCGTTCTGCAAGTGAACGTTGCTTTATTGTGCCATCCCAAAAGGCACAAAATCCCTTTCACAGACTTTTAAATTAAATGTTCCCTCCTGGTGGAATGACCTGCCCAACTCAATCTGAGCAGCTGAGTCCTTAGCCATCTTCAAGAATTGGCTAAAAACACATCTCTTCCATCTTTATTTCACCCTTTTACAGACTAGTACTCTCTATTCTAATTATATTCTTTAAAAAATAAAATAAAAAACTTGTCCTCATTTGTAAGTTGCTTTGGATAAAAGTGTCTGCTAAATGACTAAATGTAAATGTAAAAAAAAAAGCTTGATATTAATGTAATTTTTTTTGTTATCAAAGTGAACTTAGTTCCTACAAGGAAATAACAATTCTGAAGGTTTGGCAGCTTTTATAAACCATTATCTGTGGAATGTCTGTTAATCAAAGATTTTATGCAATAATTGAAACTCAAATTTATTTATTTTTTTAATTTTGATCAATTTTTCATTTTCTGAAGTGGGTCTGCCACAAAGTTTTGTTGTAAGTGCCAAGACAGAACCGCTTGTGGTTCCATCAAACCCACCATTTCATCACAATTTCACCACTCAGTTAGGCACATCAACCATAACTCCTTCAAAAACAGCCAGAAACCTTAGAGTTATGATTGATGATCAGCTGACTTTCTCAGACCACATTGCTAAAACTGCCCGGTCCTGCATATTTGCTTTATTCAACATCAAGAAGTTCAGGCCCTTTCTTTCGGAACATGCTTCACAACTCCTTGTTCAAGCTCTTGTCCTGTCCAGGCTGTACTATTACAATGCTCTCTTGGCAGGTCTTGCAGCCAGTTCTATCAAAACAATTAATCCAGAACACGGCAGAAAGATTAATTTTTAATGAGCCAAAAAGAATGCACGTCACACCTCTGTTTATCAATATGCACTGATTACCAATAGCTGCTCGCATACAAGTCAAGGCATTAATGTTTGCCTACAAACCCACCACTGGCTCTGCACCCCTTTACCTAAATTCATTACTTCAGACTTATGTGCCCTCTAGAAGCTTGCATTCTGCAAGTGAACATCGCTTTATTGTGCCATCCCAAAGAGGCACAAAATCACTATCACAGACATTTAAATTAAATGTTCTCTCCCGGTGAAATGACCTGCCCATATCAATCCGAGCAGCTGAGTCCTTGGCCATCTTCAAGATTCGGCTAAAAACACATCTCTTCCATCTTTATTTGATCCTCTAACTCTAGCACTCTCTATTCTAATTCTATTCTTTAAAAAAAATAAAAATGTTCGACTTCGTGTGCGAAAAGAATTAATATCTAGCGCATGAGCATAGAGAGATTTGTGAGTGCACAGGACACAGTTTGAGTGCGCACACTTTGAGCTAGAGGAGAGACACGTTTTAAGTGCGCGCACTCTCTCTGGGGGACAGCAGCGTGTATCTGAGCGAGCGCTTCCGGTTTTGTGCGAGAGCAAAGGAAATCCGCGTGCGAGCGGAGAAATTCGTGCTCGCGCATTATATTTATGTGCTTTCCCGCTACAATAATGCGTTCTCGACATTTGTCATTAAAATAACGCCATATAAGTGCAGCGCCACTTTGTGTATAGTGGATTTGCATTTTCACTCAGCCTGTCTGCCGTTTTTTTTTTTTCCCCAAACCAGTGCAAAAATCAGACCAAATTTTCATGCAGTTGTAAATTTTATCCGGTTGATGTAAAATAAGCCAATGTGCATACTAAAAATAGAAACAATTCAGACAATAAAGAATCTAGAATTATTGACATTATTAAGTGCAAATAAAATACCTACAATCATTCATCATTTTGACTCATATCTCTTTTCTTAAAAATGGCTTTCATTCTGACAATTGAGGTTTATCTTTTTTTTTTTTCAAAACTTTATTTTAATATGCAATACATGCCAGGTGATAACATGTTATGTTGTAGTCATCTAACCAACATTTTTTGTTCATTTAAAATCTGTTGATTGTTAATGTCATTATTTTAATTGTTTCTGCTGTTGTCGCATTTACTTATTTATTTAATTTTATTGGGGTCATTAAAAATTTAGAATGTTAAAATAGGGGTCCCTGGGGAAAAAAACGGTTGGGAACCACTGGCCTATATGACACCTTGTATACACAACTTGATAATGTCTGGATTTAAAAGGATAGATGCATATTTTTTGCAAGATACATTTTAAATAATGTAGTAACTCATAATGTAATAACTCAGCATACTCTAATAACGGCATACAATGTAATAAGCATATATAATGTATAAAGTATTACATTATTAATGTAATAAAATGTTCATAACATAATAAAATCTTGGGCAAATAATGTAATAAGTTTTCAATGTAATAACAATGTTTCACATAATGTAGGTTATTGTACTAGAAATTTCACTATGAAAACACTGTGACAACTTATAATGTAATCACAATTCATAAGGTAACAACTGCACATAATGTAAAAAGAAATGTACAATATAATTATATTTCAGTATAATAAATTTAAGCACAAAGCATAATAATATTTTATGTAAAATAAGCTATTACATTAAAAGAAAATTAGGCTTATTCTACAATGTGAACCTAACATTTTTATAAAAATCGTACTAATTTTATGATTATGACATGATCCATTTTGAATTGCTTTAACCCAGTAACACATTCTATAGGTTTTATGCACTGAATTAAAAAAATATTTTTGTGAGGCGCCTCCGCTCCCTCAAGCCCGCCCACCGCCGCTCACTCAAGCCCGCCGTGTGTTTCGTTGTGAAAGCGAAACTACTTTGTTTGGCCTTCCAAAAGAGGACACAACTAGACATCAGTGGTTAAGTTCTATTTACAACACTGTTCCAGAACAGTTCAACCCAAATATTCAGATGTGTTTAGTGCATTTTATGGATGACTGTTTCCTGATCCTGGTAGAGTAGACCAGTGTTTCCCAACCTTTCTTTAGTCGCGGCACCCTTTGGAATTTTA